GGGGGGGGGCTGGGGTTCTACAGATAGGTGAATTATATTTACATGATGCAGTACACACAATATGTTGGAACATTTGAAATGTTTGGACAAGACTAAAATAAATCGACGATGATTTGGATTTTTTTAAATACAAAAATTCACAAGGAAATTGCACTTCTTCAAGAAAATCAAGGGATATTTTGGGACCACAGCAACCCACAACCTTGCATTGACGTTTCACCTTAAAAGGGTGTCTGAACAGATTCAACATCATTTGAAAAACAATTTATCCTCACAATTAGAAGGGGGCTTATTGCTATGAATCTAAAAGTCAAAGAACGGAATATTAACTACTGCAGAAAAGAAAACATAGTGCAGGACCTTCTGTTTGTGACAAAATTACAGAGTTAATGTTCCTGAAAGATCACTTCACCTTTTAAAGCATGATTTTTAAAAAGGTAAAATTTATAGCAATTAAAGCTAATGAAGAAATGCAGCATGAGCTGCTTATGTTCAGGAACTAATAGGTCCACTGAGCATTTCTAAGATTATTTAGCCATCAATGATAATGAATTGACATTGTCAGTGGTGTTAATGTACCAATGCTCTATATAGTGCCACTAATCCGATAGCCAATCCCAGCAATTTTTTTATGTTGCTACTTAATTTTTTAACCTATGCACTACTCTATCCTTTCAATTAAAATGGCAGAAATACAGCGCAAGCTATTATACTTTTTCTCCCCTCTTCTTCTACATTAAAGGATGGCATTTTCACTATTTGGTCTACAGTCAAACTATATTGATTATTTCTTATTATACAAATCCACTTTTAATTCTTCAGGATTGTTAGCTTCAGTATAAACATGCCTTTCTCAATTAAACCAATGTTAATATATAAGTGTTAAAATACATTTTTGGTGAGCATTAAGTGAAATGTAATGATTATTTAAACTGCAAAAGAACTAAACTGCTATATAAACCAGATTTTTGTGCACAGAGGGTGATCATGGTTGCATGCGTCTCTAGCTGGTTGTTTTATTATATATAAATCCACAAATCCATGTTGTAGATAAAGATAAGTGATATAGCTCTTTACAAAAACATAAATTTACAACTACTTGGCTACCAGCATGACATTTCAGCAGCATGTAGTATACAATTAGCATAGGAAAGTGAATAATAGACTTAATTCCATAGCTTAAGTTATATAAATATGTTTTGTTCTTGATAGTATAACAGTCATAAACTATTATGCAACATATATGTTTTCTGTTGCAGAAAATATTCTAAGAATATATTAATACTATGCCAATACTAAATAGAACTGGGCTTTTTATATCAGAAAATGTGCTAAATGAGCCTTACAATTAATTCTCTCCCCAAAGGGAGCATGAACTTTACTATTTTGAGATGGTAGAATTTATTTCTCTGTTAATGTGAAAATTAAATAATATACTAACTTTGCAATTTGAGTCAAAAGGCAACTGAATCATGTATCACTGACAAGTTGGTTGACAACTTTAAAGCAAAGTCTAAGCTTTACTCTTTGAGTGTTTTGTGAGCCTGCAGTTGTTAATTATCTTTCACATGAAAGACCCGGGAATTCATAGGACAGAGAATAAATAGGATTTTTAAATACTTAAAATAGAGCGCTACTAAAATGTACCATTCTGCACTGGACTCTTTCCACTAAAATAAGGAGAAAACAGAAATCGTTCCACTGCTGATCTTCAGGGGACTTAAATTCATGCATGTTTAGTTCGTATTTAAAAAACCACAGCCATTAGTTTTCATGAATAAAATCACACTAAATATTAACAACATCACATGCAAAATTATTTGTAAAACAGACAGATGAATCGGTAAAAAACATTCAGTTGCATCTTCAGCTGAAGATTCACTTGTCCTTTAAAATGTGAAACTCACTTTGTTCTGTAGTAGATTTGTATTGCAAGTACTGGCTAAAAGAACCTCCTGCTGA